ATAATAAAGAGGATATATTTACAATTTTGTGCTTCTTCATCTTGTGTACCAATTAGAGAGTACTTTTGTACTTTTGGTCTAGAGCGTGGTTTTTTCGATTGTCTACAGGCCACAGCGATAACCCAGAATATGGCTGATAGTATAAGTAGGGATACAATAACACCCACAAAAACATATAGAACTGACCAATCTACAAATATATTGTTATTAGTGAATTCTAAATTATATATTTATATTATGTCCTACCACAATTAGCTTCTTCAAAACCCCAAAAGTAACCAAATGAAGGCATCCAAAAGGCTTCACAGAAACAGGCTCTGGTATCGTCATTACAAACACCATGTCCAGAACATTTATTTTGACATACTACCGTACGCACATCAGCAAACACGGTACCCAAAATAGAGGCATCTCTTTGTAGTTTATCCTTGAGTAAATGCTCTATGGCCAAACCATCCATGGGACGTCTTTCCTCACCATTTTCCAGCTGTTAATCCATATATTTAATACTTTATTTAATGAAAATTTTAACAATATGTTCCTACCTCCACATAGAATATCAATATAGCAGCATTTGTTCTGGTATCATGCTGTAATTCCCGTACTTGTATCTTCAAGTCTCCTAAGAGTAAACCAATTTTTTGTACTATCGTATTTAAAGCGGAATGTGTCAACATTGAAATATTCGTAGGCAGTGTTAATTGCACTAGATTCAGCAACATAGGATCGGGATGTACAAATACACTTGCTGTATCCGAACTGGTTAAACCCTGTTCATCACTGACAGTTAATTTAAAGACATAACGACCCGATACAAGATTTGTAAGCTTGAAGAAAGATGTATCAGTTTAAAAACTGTTTTTAAAAGCTTGAGTTGAGTACTTACTATCATAACAGGTTGATTATCAGTATTGGCTACAATTTGTCCTGCTGCCAGACTGGCATCTTCTCTAGTCCATTTATATTTAACAACACCCAAATCATCAGATGATAGATTACCATTAAAATATATTGCTGTTACCGGTAGCGTAATACTTTGATCACCACCAGCATTAGCTATAGGTGGTGAATTTTTCTCTTGCACCACTTTTAGCCACATACTATCCGAGGCAGTATTGTTACTTTCATCGGCTACTGTCAACTCAAATTCATATAAGCCCAGTGTGAGACCAGTAGCATTGGCAATCTAAAATTAAGTTTCAGAAATAATTCCTTTTTTATTGGCTCAAAATTATAACCTTCAGACTAAAAACATACCGTTTCATTTGATTT